CTTAGCTAATACTCCATATTTTAATGTATACAAGTTTTAAGTTCTTAATTTCTCTGTATGGTGCCAAAACTTCATTAAACCCTCTTTTAAATTTAATGCTTCTCTCCATTATGAGATCCATATCTACAGACATTTCTGCGAGCTCATCTGACTTGAATAGGAAATCGGACACAGCCTTCACTGGGAGGATGGGTTTAGCAGGTTCTGTCTTTTCAGCATCTTCATCACTGTCACTGAAGGCTATCAGCGCTTCAAGTTCTTTATTCTTTGGCTCTTGGTAATGGGATTCCAGCAGCTCAACCACTTCCTCATCCCTCATATTATGAAACCCATCACCTCCGATTTCTTTAGTGAGTCTGTCTCATGATATTGGTAACTTCCTTCTCAACCATTGGAAAGCCCTTGAAAACATTCAGGACTTCAGGGCAAAGATGATGCCAGCATACATTTATGGTAGACTCTTCACTTTGACCCATGACATTTTGGTGATATTGATACAGTCCTTAATGTTATAAGCTTTCCAAAATTTGGTTAAGTTTTCGAAAACACTGGAGTCTATAGCTTTGGTTGCACGTCAGTAGACATTCCTTGTATAGTAAGACTTGAATGTCTTTATTACTACTTGTGGTATTGGAGGGTAAAAATATTACCTCCACATTAGATGGCTGAATTTCAGTGTGCCAGGGTCATGGATAGGAGCATAATCCAAAACTAGAATATCTTTAAAATTGAGGTTCTTCTTTGCCAGGTATTCTTTAACCCTTTTGAGACAGGTCATGGGGCAAGATTATTATTAAATTACTTTTTATTTACATTATACCAATTAGTATAGTATAAAATCTTAGCTAATAATCCATATTTTAATAGTATATAAGTTTTAATTTAGTAATTCTATAAGGGAATATATAAAAATATCTTGAATTTTCCCTACTGTTACACATATGCCACATTTTCTTTAGGTATCTTCTCTATTTTATCCACCACCCCCAGTAACAATGAAATCAAACGTAAATTACTCACTATAAAATCATCATTGCTCAGAAAATACATAATTTTTATAGCCTTTAATTTTGTTTGGTTGCAGAGCTATCAAATAGAAAATCAGATCCCTCCTGCCACACCCACCCGTCACGTCTTCTCTTTCGGGATTTGTTAATAGTTCTCTCTTACACTTAATTATGTATAATCTGTAACCAATTGAAAGTCAATGTTTGCATCTATCAAATGATGTATTATATTACATTGTGTTCTAAACATATATTTTTCAGTTCACTTATAATACACATTTTATTCCCATGAGAACATTAATGACTAGCTTGGATGAATTTGCAACAGCTCTTGTCGCATAGTTAGAAAACCAGAAAAATTTTGAGAGTTGGGGGAAATTGTCTACTTTTTGCATGTTATTGGTCTGTGTTCTTTAGTGCATTATTTAATTATAAAATGTAATTCTAAGTAGATGTATGCTGTTAGAGCTTAAAGGTACTTAGGATAAATGACTGTAGTTTCATGTTACAATTTGAAGTCATTCTAGAAAGAAAAAAAAAAGGTTAATTTAGAGTTATTTCTTTTTCTTTTCTTTATTGGTGGTTACAAAGTTGGTCAAATTGACTAATTCCGTATAGAGATAGAGTAGATAAAATATAAAGTTTCACTGAATAAAATATTTGAAATGTACTTAGGATGTTTTGAGATTTTTGAAATGAAGAAAAGTATTTTTAATCTTAATATGAAAATTACTTTGCACACAAACTATTCAAAACAAATACTCAATGCATTCGGGGACAAATCTCTATTTTAGTTTATTAAAAATACTTCCTTAAAAAAAAATATGACTTTTTGTATGTGAAAAACTTATAAAGTTAACTGAAAGGCTGCCAGATTTCGTGAGGATATATACACGATATTGAAAGTTAGAATTATTAAATCTATAAAGACTTTAAATGAGTACAAAAAAGGTATGTAAACAGTCAGATTGACTGAGCCCGTGTTGAGAGAGTTATAATGATCTAGAGGGTTTATATGTTTGCGTGTTGGGCGAACCACACATAATCGAATTTTCCATGTTCAGCAGATAATTGGTTGCTTTTATTTTTGCGTGTATAAGCGAATCCGTGTTGGACAAAGCTGCTTTGTAGGAGGGTTTACTGTATATGTTTTAATGTCTCAACTTAAAAGGAAATATAAAGAAAAAAATGCTAAATATCGATTTTTTGTGTGTCATAACCCATCCTTTTGTCTTATTGCTCAGGTTACATTTTATTACACCTACCATACAATGTGTACAGTTGCTAATGAATTAGAAACTCGAATTTGAGATATGGACAAGCTAAATATAAAATAAGAATCTCCCACCTCTATGATTTGCTGAGATGTCAATATTTTTAGCAAATCTACTAGAGTGATTCTTCCCACTACTCCATTTTTTTGAAACTTCTTGTACAGCCCCACTTACTACTAATTAGTGCATGTTTATAACCAATAAAAAGATCAGTTTCTCCTCTACATAAATCTGACAGTCGTTTGTAAATAGCTTGAATGAGAAAGTAATAATTTCACCAAAACTGTTGAAATGTGATGACTAAGTCATTGCTCTGAATAGGAATGGGATTTTTTGTAGCCCACATTTAGCTTATTTAGGGACCCAGATAAATGGGTTTTGTGTGTACTAATATAGTAACTGTATAGTCTTTTGGTTTTCTAAAATTTATATTTGAAGCCTACAAAGAGTAATATATTTTCACCCTCCACTCAGAAGAATAAACTAGGCTTACAGCAAGACTTAGCATGTGCAATGCACAGTTGCAACATTTTGTAACATCTTAAGTACTCAATCTTTGTTTTTCAGTGTATCTTATATTTGTTGTTTTTTGTTTTAAGAAAAATAACTAAAATTTAAACATGGCAGCCTAAATATCACTGTATTTTGCACAAATCTTGTATTATAGTTAGACATTTATATTTTAAAGGCCAATACAGAGTTATGTGTATTATTCTAATTGTCTAAACTGATGTAAAATCAAATCAAATTATAGAACATTAGAAACTGGACAACTTAAAAACAGGTTTATTCATAACATTTAAAAGGCAAAATATTTTACAAATGTCAGGGAAATCAAGAAGACCAGACTTAAAATGCTCGCAAAAACTAAAATTGAAACTAAATCAGTATGGAAGGTAGCACTGGAACCTGAGTTTTTTTTATTGTTGATGAACAAGTGTGCTGAAAAGGGGAATAGTATTTTATAAGCATATTCTCAAATAAAATCTTTTCACACCTATGCAGCTAAATTCCAAACACACCAAAATGATTACCAGTATTCAAAAAATTGCAATGCTTATTGTATCAGCACCAAATCATATAATAAACGTTCTGACAGATTCAAAGTACTGTCTTATTGCATTGGAGAATTATTGTTGTAAACACTGTAAGATGCATTCATAAGCCAATAAATTCCACATCCTGTTGTTGGCATAAACGTTTTCACTGATTGTAAGTGCAGTGTGATTACTCTAGTGAATTTTCCCAGTAAATATTGTAAGATATAATCTGATACATTAGACATCTTGTTCTCAGGGCAGGAGTCAAGTCAGCTATCTCTTCACATATGCTTTGTTGCTTTTGAGGGTATTGTATTACAGTATCACGTAAACAGTCTACTGACACAAGCAGCGATTTACTGCTTTATTTTCAGCAGGTTTCTACTTTAGTCATTGACAGTAAAATAAATACAGAAAATAAACTGAAACGTTCAACAGTTCAAACTCTTAAGAGAAGTACTTTGAAACTTCGTGACCAATAATAAAGAAAAAAGGCACAGCTGCTCATTTCTGATTTTAGAACTTTTCATTATACTTTGATGATTTGTAAATGGCCTGAAGACTCGAATATATCATCAAGGTAAAGGTAATAACAGATAAAATATAAAGTTTTACTGAAAAAGTTTTATATGTATTTAAGAGGTCTAAATTTGAGATTTTTGAGACAAAGAAAAATATTTTTAATCTTAACATGAAAATACCTTTGCACTCGGACTAATCAGAAAAAAGAATTGATATATTCACAGACAAATCTTCAGTAAAAACCCTATGTTAAATAATCTGATTTTTCATGTTCAAAATGTTTTAAAGTCTGCCAAATTTTGTGAACATACACATACTGTATTAAAAGTTCTAGTATGTAAATTATAACAAGTACAAAGTGGTTACAAGGTTGGTCAGTTCTACTGTGCCCATGTGGAGAGAGTTAACTTTTTCTGTTTGACTGGATCAAAATACAATTTTATAAACTTTTGCAGTGTTACATTCAAAGTTTAATGGAAAAACTTTATTATCAGTGTATGTCAATAAACTTGGCATGAAAACATAGTTTATAATTAAGATTTTTCTATTATTTAAGTTTCATTTCTTATTTTAAAATATTATAACTTCTAAGATAGGCTGCTACAGTTGTCAACCAATTAAAAACACCAACTACACATAATTACAAGCAAGAATCTGATGTTTGAACCTCCTATCTTCTCTACTTGCTGAGGTATCAATAAATTTCTCAAACTCACCAGAGGGGCCTGGCATGCCCAGGTGGTTAGGGCGCTTGACTCTCAATCTGAGGGTCGCAGGTTCAAATCCCTGTCACACCAAACATGCTCGCCCTTTGAACCATGGGGCATTATAATGTGATGGTCAATCCCATTATTCGTTGATAAAAGAGTAGCCCAAGAGTTAGCGGTGGGTGGTGATAACTAGCTGCCTTCCCTCTAGTCTTACACTGCTAAATTAGGGATGGCTAGCACAGATAGCCCTCGTACAGCTTTGCGTGAAATTCAAAAAACAAACAAACCCACCCACCAGAGATACCCTTTCCATCTTTCTTGATCTCTCTCTGACTTTCAAAACTGTTTTTGCTAATCAATTTTACATTGTTAATGGACATATTTATAACCAACAGAAAGAGCAGTTTCTCCTCTCTATTAAGCTAACAACCATCCATTTGAATGAGGGTAGAACATCAGATATCTTAACTTGAGCACATAAAGCTTTAATATACAGAAAGTAATAGAACACCTTGTTTTGTATGTATATTTTTGTATTTATTATTTTAGCAAAAGCTACTAAAATGTAAAAATTATAAACTTCTCAGCTTAGCCTAACAAAATTTCAGTAAAATAAAACATTTAAAATTACATTAGCTCAAGTAGCAGTGCAAAATATGTTAGCTCCACAGGAAACAGCTAGTGAGCTCCTGCTGTGATTTATTGCTTTTTGTTCAAGAATTACTATTCATAAAAATAAAAATACAGCAATAAAACCATAGAATTACAAGAAAACAGATGGGTTTGTTTGGTTTGAATTTCACACTAAGCTACACGAGGGCTATCTGCACCAGCCATCCCTAATTTAGCAGTGAAAAACTAGAAGGAAAGCAGCTAGTCATCACCGCCAACTCTTGGGCTCCTCTTTTATCAGTGAATAGTGGGATTGACTATCATAGTATAATACCTCCACAGCTGAAAGGGTGAGCATAATAATTTTGTTTCATATTTTTTTACTTTTCATTTCACTGTATATTGATTAATTCTCTACAGTTAGTGTTAGAATAGAGACAATATAAAATTTTACTGTAGGAAAGCTTTTGATATTAATTTAGGAGGTTCTAGAGAATATGCAAATAAAATATGAAACTATAAAATGAAAAGAAGTTTTTCTTAGCATGAAAAGCGTAAGTAGAAGTACTTTATTATAAAATCTGTTTTTTATTTTAATATGCTACAGACTTTTAATGTGGTACACTTGGAGTTATAGTATGTATAGCTTCAAAGTTCCAAGGCTGGTCAAGTAGACCAACTTTGTTTTAGGGTTAAGCTCTCCAACAATGTGCATAGTCACATACATGGAAATTCACATTTTTCTGTTCTTGTCTAGTAAATGGATAATCTATTCAGTAAAGTAGTGTTTGAAAAATTTGAATCAGGCTTCATGTATCATAAATCTTCAAACATTTTTGAAGTGATTAAATGTTGACTGACCTTAACTGATTAAGAAATTCAAGATGCTATTTAAATAGAATTAAATATTACTGTAGGAGGTGTGTTGAAATGTAATGTATAGGATTTTGCTTGTTTCTTTTTAAATATGAATCATTACATTGTACTTTCTTATATTGTTTTCAGCTAAATCTAACTGGAACATTTTGTTATTGAATGGTGGTATTATATTAAATATTAAAATAATTTGAGAGAGAGTGAGATATTTATGTGAATAGTTATATAGAAGAACAGTACAAGAAAAGTTCACTATATCATATCAAGATATGTATACTTAAGCGTAGTATTTTGGATTCATGTTGTAATTACATGTACTTACAGATTATAGAGACCAGGCTGAAAGTGACATTACCCGATGATCTTGGATCTGCTTTAATGGATGGGGTAGTACTGTGCCACTTAGCCAACCAAGTGCGACCCCGTTCTGTTGGTAGCATACACGTGCCTTCTCCTGCTGTGGTAAGATGTCCTCTGAAATTGATTTAATAAAATTCATAATCTGTTGTATTGACATGTGTATGTATGTTTGATAAGAAACTTTTTAATATGTGATATGTAAATATATACATTTAACACCTAAAATTTGTAACTAAAGATATGAGTTATGCTGTTAAATGTCAACTGAAGAGCGTTGAATATATATATATATTCTTGTAGGTCAGTGTTATAATTGTGAAAGAAGAATCTTAATGTCACTGAATATTTTGCTATAAAATTTATAGTCTTCGTCTGTGTCATAGTTCAGCAAATGACAAAGAGCAATTATGTGAAATAAATTTTGTCCTGTTAACTGGTGTATGTACCAGTTAAAGTTTAATGAAGTTTTTAAATTTACTTGAATTTCTCACTTTCATTCATAATATTTTTAGCCTACACTGTCAATGGCAAAGTGTAGAAGAAATGTAGAAAATTTTTTAGAAGCCTGTTACAAGAGTGGTGTACCTCAGGTAAGATTACACAAGTTTTTTTTTTTTAGGATATATGGTTATGTTTGAATGAGTCTGCATTAAGAAAATGAAAACAGCACATTGAAAAACTGTGTTGTTTAATACTAATTGGAAAACCCTTGTAAAAAATAAATTGAATAAGTGATAAATAATCAATAAATGTTTTGTGTATTAGTGTATTTTTGATTTGATTCTGATGAATGATTTTAGGAGCTTTGTTTTTATAATAGGAGAAAAGAATTGATTGTCTTTCTGTATCATACTTTTGTGAAATTTCTGCTTTTGTATAGTCACAAAGCTAGATACTTAAGAGTTTTGGAAGATAGATCTTCCAACTCTAATGTTTTGGGATTGATAGCTGATCATCAGGCTTAATGAGGAATCAAAATTTATTGATTTGTTTGAAAAAATAATCAAATAGTGTCAACTCAAAATTATCCAACCAAACAACCTACTGAGGTTTAATTTTTTGTGACCATTATAAACAGGTAATATACCCCAAAAAGTTATGATTCCAGCTGGCATTTCATAGTTTAATTTCTTACAGAGACAAACAATGGATAATTCAAAAGTTGTACCCTTTACCTTTAAACCCAATTAGTAGTTGAAACACAAACAGTTGTAGTCACTTTGAATTTTCACTTACTTTGTGTTAATTTGAATTTTGACAGTCTCTTGAACACTTTATACACATGCTTAATCTTTATCTTATTTGGATTATTGACGTTTGTATCAATTTCTGTAAAACAAGACAGTTGATAACCCATATCAAAAGATAGGCCATCCTTCTTTATGGGTGAACTAGGAATAAGCAGAAAGTATAAGTTGTGTAATTTAATGAAGGGCTTCTGATATGGTCTTACCTCCTCTCACACATTACTAAAAACTTTTAATGATCAGCACACCAGCCTATATACCCCACTCATTTCATGCCACTTTTGAACATGTATGTAGCATGTGACCACCCTGCACCAATAGTATTGCACTATCTATACTGGTGCAGCTAGCTCCCTCATGTTCCTGCTCAATCCTCACTTTCTCGATTGGCACAGTATCATTTAGATGTATTTTTTCATATGTGACTACTGTTTATGACTCTACTTCATTTATATTTTAATACCTTTTCCAATAGTTTTCTTTTACACTATTTGCATTCCATAGTTTCAATTTTATCTTTGCATTTGTTTATTGTTACTGAATTATACGGTAACTTAGTATGACAATGGAAATTCCTTTTATGCTAGACAACATTTCTGGTATGACTAACCAGGCATTGAGTTCGACTTTATCTTCTTTCTGAAGAGGTACAGGCCTTAATTTGCAGGGAGCTAGATTCCTACATTTGGCCAGTAATTTTTCTTATTTTCAACCTGACAGTATTTCTGAGAATGAATACAATCAAAGAGAAGAAAATTGGATTCACTTTTTCTGGCACCTTCTTATTTTGGTCTGTCACACTCTACACTTTTTATTATTATTATTATTATATACAGTTGGTTAATCAGGTATGTGGTATATTACATGTTTCCTTTTCCTCCTAGCTTACAGATGTCGTTGATTGGATAGTTATGCTATTATTGTTACCAGAATCCTCTATCATTTCTCTTATGTCATCATATATCCAGACTGGTCCTTCCTCCCTAAGACCTCTGTTGCACAGGAAGGCCTTTCATACCCTTCATTTACCTTCCAACTGCCATCTGCACTCCCATTCTGATCCACTTGTCCACTTCACTCCTTACAGTATTATGTATCACATACTACCTACTTTCATGTTCGCATTCCCAACCTGTTATTCCCTGGAACCTTCCTGTTTCCCATTATACATCCACTGTCACACTAACTGGTTGGATTCGACAACTCCTTAGGTTGGCATATTCAGACTTATCCAAGGAAGGTCACTGTTTCCTCAAGGTTTCTTCTAATCAAATTTGTCATATCACCACGTCTTTGCTGTCTGTTGAAAGTAGTCATTCAAGCCAGATCGTGGACTACTTCCTATTCCTTCATCGCTCATTATCTGCACTACCTGGCTGTATCTTTCTCAGTTAGATATCATCTCCCTCCCATGGAGATTTTACACATCTGTTCGCCTTTGACTTGGGTATGTCTTTTCAGAACATTTCATTTATGTTTTCTTTTCAGGGACTATCTTTTACCACTACTTATAGGATCCCACTCTGTGGCAAGTGTTGCCTGGTCAGGTGTGCTTTTACTCAAACCCATACTATATACTGGTAGAACTGTAACACTCACTGTAGAGATGAGGTGTTCTGCAAGACCACTAGTGGCATGCCTAGTGGTATATAATCCTGTAAGTTTTAACTCAAGGGTGTACCATCACTTATAGACTATCATTATTAAAGCAGAATTGGATTTCTGCCATCCCTTTTAGTGCATAAATTGGGTATGGTCTGCTTTTTAAAATAGAGAATTGTGGACACTAATTGCACTTTCTCCAGTGTGACGTTCCTCCGGGCTCCCCACTACATTTATTTCCCCCTTTTTTCTGCATGGAAGTCCTTAGCATTTACCAGTTCCCAGTCACTGGGTAGTGGACTATGGAGGCTGCCCCCCAGTGGCACAGCGGTATGTCTGCGGACTTACAACGCTAGAAACCGGGTTTCGATACCCGTGGTGGGCAGAGCACAGATAGCCCTTTGTGTAGTTTTGTGCATAAATTCAAAAACAAACTATGGAGGCTTCCTTCTGAGTGTGAAGTAGAAATTTACCTTGCAAAATCACACATTTATCCACTCAGTGAGAAGAGGGCAAAAATGGGTTCCTTCCTTCCTTTTCCCTTGGGTGCTTATTCCGAAGTGGACTGATTGTGGGTTGGAGCAGAACCAGCCTTCATGGGATCTTCCTTATAATACTGACTTTAGGATGACACTACCTTGTTCCCACGGTTTATTGCAGTAGATGCAATTCTTGTTAATTCCAGTTCCAGGAGGTTTCCTACAGTTGAGTTTGGGGGACTTTGTCTGCCTTGTAATATCAGCAACAAGACATAAATACACTGTTTCTACAGTTGAGCAAATGTTCCACATCCTTCTGAAAATTTTGGATGCAGGATGTATTGTCCCTGCATTTATAATTGGGTGAGTTACAATTTCTGCTCTTAATACCAGTTACATGTATTGCCCTGTTCTTATGGGTGAGTTGAGGCAACAGCACGACCCCATAATGATGGTTTCAGTTTTTGTACTTCTTGCTCCCACAGTGGTTTTGGGAGTTTGTCTGATTTCAGCTGAATACTAACTTCCTCTTTGTAATTCCAGTTGCTTGATCTATAACACACTGTTTACTTAAGATTGGATTTGGTGTATATATATCACACGGTCCACATGCCCTAGTCACAATGTTTAGATTACTCTAGTAATATAATACCTCACAATGCTGAGGCTGAGTAGTGGAACCTCTTCTATCTGGTTGAGGTTGGGTAGATACCTAGCCAAGGCTAGTTGTTTTTCTCCATTGTTATGTTTTGATGAACTCTTCCTTGACTTGCCATTTCTCCCTATGTGGGTATTGAGCTCACTTCAAATTTTTGTTTCATAAAGTGACTCTTCACATGTGGCACCTCTCAGAACATATTAAGCATATGCACATCCTTTTTTCAACCATATTAGGTTCATATTCTTCTTGCAGTGCAAAGAGCATACTTGTTCCAGAAGTAGTGCAGTACCCCGCTTGTGTGCTTTGATTTCGTCTCTGAGCATACTAGTTATTTCTAGGCAGTCACTTTCTACTTGGTTTCACTGTTAGGCTCCTACACTGGCTCCTCCACTTTTCAATGTGAGATTCTAGTATTGTATGAGCATAGGTAAGACCGTATTGGAAGTTAACATTTTCTTATACTAAAATTAACATTAATTAACATACCCTTTTTTGTACCATGTACAATTCATGGCGTAATATTAACTCGTATATTTTTTACTAGCTTTACTTATGCATAATTGCACTATTAGTCTGTGTTCACAATAAAGTTCGGCTTAGCAGTCATTTACACACAACAGTTTAATTCATTGCAAATTTTTATAACTTAAAATATAAAAAGATACTCATTAAGATACTATCTTCATTATCATCCTTTTATAATAATGACATCAGTCAATTAAGTATTGCTGCAATAGGAATTAATTTGACACTTGGTTACTACTTTAAGAGGAGTTTAATGTCTTTCTCAAAACCTGTAACATGGTTTTCCTCAGATTGTTTTTAAAACTATTTCAAGAACATGATATTTAATAATAGACATTCAATATGGAATGTCTTAAGAGCTCATTAATCACTGTTTTCTGTTTAGCAGATGAAGTATATTGTGACTGTATCAGTTTATACATAAATGTTTTTGTGGGTTGGCTTGCATAAGATTGCAAATTGTTCACCAAAGTATACATTTGAAAGTTTGAGGTTTGTTATTTGTTATTAAATGTAGACTTTAGTAAATAATAAGTCCTTATAACAAACTTATGATTCTTGTCATTCTTTTTTATGCACATATCTTGAAAATTTATGGGTAAGTTTGAAATTTTATCTATGAAATGAATGTTTGTCGATTAGATGTGTACAAAACTAGAACTTAGTAACATTTAAAACTAACATCTGGTTCCAGTTATATGTGTCCTGTATCCTGAAACCACAAAGTACGAGATATAGGTAGCCTTAAATAATCTAATATGTTCACAATGAATATATTTTTGTATCAGTGTATAGTTTTATATATTGTTTCAACATTCTGAATTCTGTAATTTGAAGAAATATGCAACAGTATTTGATAGTGCATGGGATATAATTATTGAAGTGTTTATGTATAAAATAAATATATAAATTTAAATAACAGTGCATTTATTTATTGAAGTTTCTGCAGTTGAATGAGTGAAATTGCTTAAGTAGAAATTCTAATAATTTTGTTTGTGTTCATTTTGTTTTCTTTAGGAGCTTATATGTTCTCCTCAGGACGTGTTAGAAGAGCGAAGTTTAGCAGCACTAGCCATTACGGTAGAGGAGTTACTCAAGCAATCTTTTGGCACAAAGTTTTGAGTTACACAAGTTTCTTTTAGTGCCATTAGTGCTCTTCGACTTGCACTGGTTGTTACTGCCCACTAGGAACTGATTAATCAATCAGAAAATTTTATTAAAAAGCTAGTCCTCTCCTTAATTTCCAGTATTTTGTACTAAACTGGCAAATAATTCATCTTTCCATTTTTTATAATTGTTTAAAGATTTATTCACGATCATTTTTATTTTTGAATCATGTATGAGCAGCCACAAAGAATAATTATTCATTTAAACATTGTAATTTTTTCATGAGCCATTATATGAAGGAGGATACCCAAGATGTGTTGTTTTTGACCAATTCTTGAGATTAAACAACATATTTTATGTCATTTCCCAGGATCATCAGTGATGTGATTGTTTTAGTAAAATACAAATATATGGGACAGCAATTTTAGGGTTAAACTGGATTATTCAAAAGAAATATTCCTTATAGATTTTCTTTGTTTAAAACAAAACTGAATAACTTTATTATGCCTAGATTTAATTTCAAAGCATTGGAAAAATGAAGTACTATTACATTTATTGTATCAAAAACAAAATGATTTGGCAGTATATGATTATGTATTTATGTAGAAAAAATTGCTTAATTATAGTTCTATCATTAGACCAAGAAATTCACGTTTTGGGATAGAAATATAGTTACATTTTTTTCTTTCTTTTTTTACATTTAATACATTAACTTTCTTTGGCAAAGTGGCATTTTTAGTATAAAATACAGTATATATATATTTTACAAGATATATATTAATGTTTTTATAATAGTGATTTTCTGAGGTATTAGAAGCTAAATTATGAAAATATGTACTTTAGAATGATGATCAATGAAGTTCTACTGGTGAAAATTTTCAACTTTAATACAATAGAAATATACCCAGATTGGACACAAGTTCCTTGTTATCAACATCTGTCAAACATCAACCAAATTCTCATTCATTTTAAGGAAATTTGCATCATCTTGTAGAAAAAATTAGGTGCCTGACGTGTTAAATAAGGCATAATAGTTGTGATCTTGTAGAAGCAATTCATAATTATGAACTTTTTGTAACTTTTTTTCTTGGAAATTACACTTAGTGTTAAATAAGGCATAATAGTTGTGATCTTGTAGAAGCAATTCATAATTATGAACTTTTTGTAACTTTTTTTCTTGGAAATCACCAGGGTCTTTAACTTAATTTGTTGCTGTTATTGTAGATATTTGTTTGTTTTTTGCAAAGTATGTTTAGTGTTATTCTTACAATAATGTTTTGTGTTAAAGACAGAGCTGAAAAGAAAAATGAAAACCATCTTTTATTATTGTAATTTACTTAGTAACCATTGCTCAAACCAGGTCACTGTACATTTAATACCAAAAAGCCATTTTATTTTAATTTAAGGTTGTTCTTTTTCTCTCTAGTTTAAGAAAAACGCATTGATTTCCAAGTAGTATCTGTCGTAGTTCTAGTGTGTTTAACCACTGTGTAATGAACGGCATTGTGTAGTTAAAACTCTTATTTTTGTCTTTGGTGTCCATTTGGTATAAAAAAAAAACATATCAGGGTCTTTCCGGTAACAAAGTGTTCCTTTTCTTTTTTTACTGTTTTCACCATCTCTCACTGTCATAACATATTGTAACATATTCTCCTTTGCTTTCACTAATGGGTTCTTAGAATAACTATATTTTCTTTTGTATTACAATTGTATGCCATCGTTACTTGGCTGGAATTATTCTATTTTTGCCTTACTTGTAATGTTATCATAGACAGGTCAGAGATAGTGATCATATTCTTATAAAACAGATTTTTCAGTTCAATATCCCCTGGTGAGACCACGGTAAGTCTAGAGATTTATGACACTAAAATTAGGGGTTTGATTCCCCTTGGTGGACACAGCAGATAGCTATAGAAAACACACACATTCAGTTCAAACAGCTTGAATACTTACAACTTAATAGTTGTGGATTATTAAATTCAGGTAGTTTACCTACTTTATTAAGTGAACTAAATAGTAACTTTTGTGTATTTAAGACAAAAAACATTTGTGAGAAATGGAAATATTAATTTTGCAGGTAAGATTATTTTTGCTTGTATTATAGTGAAATACTTTAATATTAAAATCAGCTTAATGGTTAGCAACACTATTTGGACATCAACTAAACATCTTTTTAAACTAAAGATAGTTAAAACATATTTTAAAGTAAGGTAATTGTTTAAATTGCAAATGAGGTATGATTGTTGTAAGTCATATTGAAATAATTGTAATGAAATATAAATCAAAAATAAAGATATATATTACTGGTTTATTTTTGCTATACTATCAGCCTTTGGAGTTCTTAAAGTCCAGATGAATATCGTTTGTTTAAAACATTGTCACGTAGGTGAGTAATTTGATGTTTGTTTTATAGATTTTTTTTTTTTATGGTTATAGCCATGTGAAGGAAAAATCTCAGATAACAGAATATAGTTTTATTTTTGATTCAATGAGATCAGCTCTTTGTATAAAACTTTTCTATTTCGTGAGGTCAAAATATGTTTCTCATAAAATCTGTTTAATTCTCTTTCAAATATGCTTTTGTGGAAAATAAAACAACAAGGAAGCATAAATATGTGTATTAGAATGCAGACTTTCTTTTTCATTAAAACATTGTTTTACTTTAACTTTTGGAGAGAAACTTTTCATTTGATAATCTGAATAAAAAGAATTGTATTTAATCACAAATTGATTTTTATAGTTGGTTGTGTTATGTATAAAAAAGGGCTTTGCTGCAGATTGACAGTATTGCTGTACATGTTTCATATTTTCAACTGTGAATGTTTTATAAGAGTGTTATTAAATCCCATTATTTTGTTGAATGCTGGGAAAAGCCCTTGTCATGATGGGTGCCACTGATTGGCTGCCTTCATTCTGGCCATTAGTTAAAAATTAGAGGTGGCTATACCTGAATTGTGGAAGTTTCTGACCTGGCCATTTAGCCATATTCAGATTGAAAATACTAATATCAGAATTTATAAAAATCAGTAAGTGCACAATGGCCAATCTTCTTTTGAATTACATTGACTACCACTATAAGTTCTATGTGCAACAATTCTAAATGAATTTTGTAAAAAACCTGTTTTTTAAGTACTAAAAGAAACCCAGTTTCACTTTCAACTCTCAATTATAATTGTGGCTAACAGGTAAAACTGTAATTTCTTGATTCTATAAATAAGTGTATTTCTTCATTAAAAAATAAAGTATTATAAAACTATTTTTTAAAGCTATTTAAGATTTGTATTTTTGTATACCACCAAAATAATTATTTTAACTGCTAGTTTGTAAATATTGAAAGTTTTAGAAAATCTGCTACAGTAATTATGTTTTAAAATTGTAAATAAATTGATATTCAGTAACTTGCTGTTGGTTAATGCTTGAAATTACTATATACTTCAGAAAAAATATTAAGTGTGCAAGTTTTCCATTGAATAATAATAGGTAATAAGACTAGGTAATTATAAGTAATCACAAAAGTATTCTTGTAAAAACATTTATCATACAAGTTACTGGCTCATAGTATTAGTATAACATGTTCTTAAATTTTTTTATTTTTTTAACTTATAATTTGCTGACAACAAACATAAAGTTATAAAACAGAGTAGAAATTAGCTTGTAGCCAATACACCAGTGTATATTCTATAAATTGTATTAATAGCCAGTTTAAGAAATAAAAAATATTATCACTATTTGTGAGCATTTTATTAAGGATGTTTGCATAAAATAAGGCAAAACTATTTATATGATGAAAAGGGGTCAAAGAAAAAAAAATGTTTTAAAGTATTTCTTGGATTTAGGTTTAATAGATGATGCATAATCCTTAAATTAGAAGAATGCTGAAATTCAAAGTAGAATTATGGTGTAAGTGTGTATGTTAGTCTAATGGAGTTAGCACATTAAGAAATTTATTGCAATGCCTCTTTCTTAGCAGAAAATAATTTTTTTAATTATATTTCAGGTGAATTTGATTGTGTTATGTGTGAAAGAGTTAAAAACTGATTCATGCTTTGGATGGTTCCACATTTTGTAATTTTATAAATTCTTAGAGAAGTTTTAAGCAGATTAGTTACACTTGAAAATCTCACAAAAACGTTTTAGTTAAAATTTGTAGAATATATATATTAAAATATTGGTAATCATTTTAATTTTTTAAAACCTAACAAACGTTTTACTTTTTACAATATTCTTAAGAAGGAAAAATGCAAACCATAATTTCAAATGTTATATAAGGCTTTATGACAAACTTCATCATTATCATTTAGTTCTTTTACTGTCTACCATTTAAAACATCAGATTTCTGATTCATTAATTGTGAAGATTTTATTAAACGCATGTTAAATATGTTAACAGATAACAGTTTGCAGCTATTAGTTGCTAATTACTGTGAATATTATTCATTTATTATGAACACTTGCCATATTCTGTGTTGAATATACAAAAAAAGCAGTACTGTTTTTGAGGTAGTCTTGAATGACATGTTGTATTAAGTGCATCCATTCATTAAATTCATAGCCTACTTTTATGATAGTATTATTATTATTGTACAAAATCCTTGTAAAATTAAGTTGAAAGTTGTGAATAACAAGCTGGTTAAAAAAGAGGTACTTATTAATTTTGAATAAGTCTGCGGGACACTTAAATTATAAAATTATAAGCAAGTGAGGAGATGTAATAAATTTGGAATTTTTTTAGCAAGGAAAACTTTTACAAACCATAATGTTTTTGAAATTAAATTTACTCAATCTTTTAAAAATGTGATAAAACATTGGTGTTATTTTAGTCTTAGATCTTTAAGTTGCCTTCTCTGAACATTTGCCTCGGTGTCAAAGCTTATATTTTTTCAATTCAACATAACTGAAAAGTTTACCTTGTTCAATCCTTGAAAGACCGTCAAAAGGCTATCTGTGCCTATGTATTATAAAAATATGTCTGGATAGTAACAAAACTTTTCTGTATAACTTTATTTTGACAAAGACTTGATTTCTTGTATCAATAAATGACTTAACATAATTGTTTTTTTAAGTAAGCTTATGAGTTTTTACTTAATTGATGTACAGGTATAGGTTATGACCAGCAAAATACTTTATTTTTGGAAATGAAATGGTTGAGGTTTGATTCATGTTACTTGTGGTGCTTTGTCTCAATTCATCAGAAAGTGTATAGTCTGTACTTTGTAATGTTTTCTGCAAAAGTTATTTATCTACTGAAAATGGTGTGATGTACAGAACTTACAATAAAATCAATTAATGACACTTGACTGAGATTCCTAATTGAAATATACAAGTGTATATATTTACTTACCAATCCTAATTTAGTGCCTATTTCAGACAAATATAGTGACAATTTCAAGTAATATGTTTTACTATCACGTGAATAAAGAATCATAAAGTGATGGAATTTGTTCTTGCAAATTTCTGTAACACTTGAAATATATCAATAAGAATTTTTGTACCAAAAAAAAAATTATAATAATTATTTCCTGCATGCAGACCCATACATTTTGAACATTATAATTGTATTTTAGAAGATAATAATTATAAATGAGGAACACAACTTTTCAAGTACAATTGTCATTGATATATTAAATATGGTTCTGTTTAACTGTAAGAGCGTGTTTTATCAGGCAGTTGCTGCTTTAATAAAAGATGATGGTAAAACAGTCATGCCACTTTTTATATATTGTATAATAAATTAGGGTCTTTTAACTTCATAACTCAAAGTAGTTGGAGTATACAAATTAACTTGTTATGAAGACATGCTTAGAAAGAGTTCCAAATAATATGAGCTGTTCATAATTTGATATGTTTTCATTTTATGACTTTTTTTTAGCAACTTATATATAAGCTTAACTATCCACTTCTTTTGAATTCAAATATCAAATTTATCGAAGCAGAATTTATCCATGTTAATGTTATTTTTACAAAACACTTATACTAACAGTCTCCTTCCAAAAACGTGCTTTAACTATTGTTTGCAGATTGGTATCATACTGTATTTTATTCTATATAATTTCTCATTCATTCATTTTTCCAGATAAAACACTTATCAGTAAATATATAGTTATCTTCTGCTGATTGGGATGGCGATGGAGTTTGTTCTGTTTTGTCAAACACAGCTTTCATAGGCCTACTTGCCTTTTTGCAGCAAACACTATTTAATCAATAAGCATATTTTCACTGACTCATTCTGATACTTACAAGTGGTGAACAAGATTAATAACAAAGTACATTTTTAAGATTTATTGGAAAAGTAAAGGCAGTTAATTTTGGTACATCCAATAGCACATTTCAAACCTAGCATGGTAATAGCATAAAGTTCTAATTCATCCCAGATATTAAAGATAGGTAACATTACAGTTAAATCATTAAGGTAATAGAAATGCAACATCTGAAATCCCCTACCACCAAGCCTACTGTTATCTAAATAGTGATATCCAAATTCTCCCAGTGTACTTGTATTGCTTTCAGTATTCAACTGTAAGTCCAAATATTAACACACTGCATTCGTATGGTAATATCAGGCCCACTTTCATGCCTGCTGTATAAAACCATAAAAATTATTCTTTAGAACATTATGCCTACATCGTGATAATAATCAAATGTTTGGATGCAGTAACTATATTTTACAAGAATTATGTTTCTTTCACAGTTTAATCTTTCTTGATGGTTATCCATGTGTTACTGCTGTAAACCTGTTTTTAAGCCAACTTTTATTGTCCAAAGTTCTGTTCCAGAACTTTCTCTCATAATTTTAATCAAGCATTAAATGAAAACAAATGATGTTCGAAAAATTAGCATTGAACTAAATCTTATTCTGACTCTTCTATTCTTTTAGGGTTGTGGTAGTCTTTACTTAAAATTAAATCTAGTCTTCTATTCTCTCTTTTATGGTTGGGTGGTTATGACAAATCCAAATGGACTTGTGAACACCAACAGATCATTTCCCCAGAGAGTATTCAAAACAAAGACAAAATAATATAGGAAGGCTCCAAGGTAACAGAGTCATGAAGTTGATTTTACAACACAGCTGCTAATTGGGTTACTGTGCACAGTTTATAATTTCAAATTAAATAAATTGAAGTGCATGAAACTTAAAAAGTAGAATTATAAGTTGATTAATGTAGCCTTTCAATCCATATCAATGAAATTTATTTTTCCTATAACTGATTATGAGTGAAATTTCCTTTAAGCTCACAATTTTATGTTAATTATCATGATCCCCAATAGTGGTTCATAATAGGGATTGTCCAAGTGTTCATCTTTATTATCTAATATCGTTCCTGCGGCAAAAATGGCTGCAAGTATTGTAATAAAACCTGGGCATTGTTACTAAATACATCATTGTGCATTGTGTAAGGTAGTTTTTAAGTTTATTTTAATACCTAGCAACTAACAGTGGCTGTATAACAGTTCACACCCAATCATTTTAATGTAGCCTGTCTAATAATCTACTCCATGCATACACATGTACCACAGCGATTTTTAACTATTAAGAAATATAAATTCTTCTTGGTATACATATCGTATTATATTGTGACACATTG